CTATTTTTTATTATTAAAGGGGATTAAGTTGCACCATATATGAGAAATAAGTAATCTAGAGATAAAACTTTTACATACTTACATACTTACATACTTATCGTTTTAATATGAATACAACGCTAATGAAAGTAAAATGATAAAGCATTTTTTACGATTTTTTTTAATAACTGCGTGTTTAATTTACTTTATCCATGAAAAAGTATTTAAAATATAATTTAGTAATCTAAAAGAGTCGGCGATGTCATAAATATTTGCTATATAAAATAATTATCACCATACTACATATCTAAAATAAACTGATTACAATATTATAAACTGAGGCATACTATGTCCTCATAGAAAATATTAGATAACTATTTTACAAAACCCAGACAAGTTTAATGAGCTATACATGAATAATTTAATAAACAACCTAATCGAAAAGACAGAAAACGTGATCTTGTGTGAAAACAAGTATTCCTTGAATTGAAAACACTATTCAAGCTACAGATATAGATCGAAATAGATAATGTGTGTGTACTTTGCGTGCCAAAAGGGGACCAATAGTCCTCCTTTTACGCTAATTTTCTTTCTATCCCCGTCTGCCCCCCTAGCATGAGCACCGCGATATGATATATAACGCGTTTTTATCACGCTCAATTGTCAAATTACTATGGAGTTTGACAGTTCGACGCGATAAAAAACGTGATATAATATAAATTATAGTGCTCATGCTACGGGGGCAGGACATCAATCGAAATGTTTAAAAATATCTATGATAATATGTCATATGTCTGTAAAAACGATATGATTGCGGGCCCATGCTTTTTCGCCACTTATTTGTTCTCGTCGGTACTCAAAATCTGACACGCTCGGTTTCCATGCAATGGTATACGCAAAGTTTAACATAGATGGCGCTGCAAACGCTTGTCCCAAACCACAGCTGAATATTGCATGCATTGCATTGCATTTTGTATTTTTGTTGTAGAAATATTAAATAAGTGGTAAAAATGTATTCAACATGGTCTGTAATACACCTGAAAACAGAGTTGAAAAGGAGAGGAGCACAGATGCTCCTGTAAGGCAGAAAAGCTGATATAGTAGAAAGGTAAAATGCACATGCTCGGTACATAGATGCATTTTCGACGATTATTTTAATAGTTCATGGATCTCAGTAACTATATACCGGGCTCATTAGTCAAATCTTTATTATTTTTGCATCAGTCATACATCTCATAGAGTTAGGTTAACTCTGGTTAAAATGGGAAGTCTAACATTTTACAGACTTGAGGCATATGACCGCAATTTTTAATTTTAGTGCATTTTTTTCTGATCAAAATGAAGACATCCAGATACAATTACCTGCCACAGATACATACTATGATGTAAATAGTGGCTCAGTTTTATCCCCCCCGCCCCCCTTTAAAAGCAACATATAAAATTATATTTTAGTCGGTAAGCATGCAATTTTCTCACAACAACCAGGAACTGCACAACGCGGTATTTGTAATTTATTTATTTATTTAATTTTTGGGAGACCAACAGCTCATAAAACAGACATAGCTGAGGAAAAATTAGTAACAGAAGGCCAATTACAGGTCTCCACGTTTAAAAAACAGAAATCTTTATACTTTAACATATAAAATTAAAAACGTGCGGACAAAATAATATGATTAGTCTACATAGTAATTTGTTTAATAAAAAGCTTAAAAATGAATATAAGCTAAAAGGTTTGTATTTGATAGAAGTTTTGGGTCAAGCGATTACAGCGCCCCTAGTGGCCAAATTTTGCAGATTTTAAGTATACAATTTTAAGAACATGCGGCGTCTACTTCAATCTAGATCTGTAATTTAATCCCTATGCAAAAAATAAGTGCAAAATCTACATAATATAAAATCAAAGAAATACGTAAGTATTTACAAAAATAAACGAAAAGCAACTTACATTGCTGAAACAAAAAAAAAACACAACATAAATGCTTTATTGACCAATCCACCCAAATCACAGTGGAGTTTAATTTATAAATATGCCAATTTTGACGCCCACTGATAGTAATATAAAAATAAGCAAATCCTAATGATAATATTTATAATTTACTACGAATTGATACTGGGATCATACCACTATTAATTTATTTTATGAACACAAATCTAAAAATATTGTTTGTATAAGTCTCCAAAATTTTAACTATTCGGGAATCGATTTACAATTTTATGGCCGGCGCAGAAGAGGGACTTTTTTCCAGGGAGTACAAAAGTCCCTCATTCGAAAAAAAATGTCCGCCCAGGACTTGTCACGGACTCAACGCACACGATGTGCGAACATTTGTTACCCGAAAATTTTGATTAAGCGCACGTTATGGAATTACAACAGTTTATGAAAATAAAAACGAGCTAGCCTTACAGTAGTCGCGTATGATGTGTAACATTTGAAATCTCACCTTAAATTAGTAAAAAAAGAAATAAAACCTACTACAAAAGGAATAAGCCATTTGAACATTATGTTCTAAAATCAAATAGCGCTCTCTTTATCAACTTCCTTTACACACTTCCGTCTCATTTCACGAAATCACTCCCACAAATTGCAGGAAAGCGAGAGGAAAGATGTTACACATCAAAAACGAAGAGGTTTTAAAAGAGAATACAGGGGTACCTTTAAATCGGATCATCGAATCGGATTCACTGTATGCGTTGTTGCGCCTAGTCACATGAATTCTATTTGTTTCGGGGATATTTACTTTTGTGCAGTCTCTAGTCGCCACGGTTGTTCGGCAGAGGAGGTTTTTGTACGCGATACTTTTAATCCCTCGTGTGCTTTAATCGATGCAGTTGGATTTAATTTGGAGAAGTGAGAGAAGAGAGGGGAGAAGTCTGAGGACAAAAGTCCCTCGCCTGCGCAGGCCATTAGAGATAAAAAGATGTCAATTTGCTCACGAAATAATATTATATAAAATCTCTAATATGTCAAGAAGTATATAAACATATACCACTTGACATGTGCATCCCTATGACATTATACTACTTTAAGAGTGTTAAAGGAAAAAGGGAACTCTCTCTTAGTTTTTATAATCAATGAACGTAATAAACACAATTTTTTTTTGGTGTTTCCAGATCCTCTGTAAATAATCAGGAATCTTTTTCCTATAAAGGGATTGTCTTTTTCGCCATCTGTTCGCTCAAGATTCAAAAACAGCTAGACTCCTAACTATTATGTTATAAAAACTAAGCACCCACAACTTAAACACGATTAATACTTGACATGACACTTGTTTTGCCTTATCTGATGCTCTACCAGACTGAATGATATATTGAAATAAGAAAGGCGGCTAAAGTAACAATCCACAAAGTTAATTAAATTACGGTTACTTAAACTGCACACAATGTAAAAGAAAAAAGTACCAGGTAAGTAGATCAGATGGAAAACCGAATCAATAAATGAATTATCTATGAAAAGGTATTGTTCTAACCACATTAAACAGTGTATTAAATGCATGACTGTTAATTCTTATAAAGATACATAGCTTAGCAAATTATAAAATTTCAATTTGGCTTTTTCACATTTTGACAACACAATACCGATAACAGCATAAATTCAATTAAAGAAATTTACATACGTACGTACACACATCAAAACATGATTGTATTAGAAACATTTAATGAAATTTTGAGTATGTAATTTTAAAAAAAAGTTAATGAGGAACACAATTAAGTGAATGGAAAAATCGAGGTCTTTCAATGTCAAACTGTCTCACTGGAATTGCATTATATGACTCGTCATCAGCCTATTAAAGTCCCCACTGCTATGGCACAGGAAGGCCTGTTCCCCACATTCCGTCCATAGGGAACGCCCTATGGACGGAATGGGAACAACGAGCCATGACCCACCCACTTGGGATCAATAAGCATTGTTTGGTGCTAAGATTTCAAATGCAGCTGGCTCATGAGCAACGGCTTAACGTGCCTTCCAAAGAATATGGAAGTTTGAGATTACATCCTATGTCCTACAAAGCCCAGATAATAAAGTATCTGTGCGCCAAATTTCATCATTCAATTCAGCTTTTATGGCTATATAACTATAACTAACCTATAGCTATATCCAAAACAAAAACGTTAAAAAATTCACAATAAATCACGCGGAACAAATTAAAAGTATAAAAAAATGTAATGACATATTATAGTTTTTGACTGTAAAAGAAAACTGCCACCGTCATCTCATTCCAATACATTATCAGACTTACTGGTGATAGTAGACGAGACCAAATGAATATAATTGCTATTTTAGCCCTCCTTCTATATAAATTATTATTAGCCGATTGTATAGTTTTCCGACATCCTAAAGAACTTCATCCTGTCTAAAATTAATGGAACTAATTTGATATATCAGCTATGTAGTTTTATCAGGGTTGTCAGTGTTCGAATGCCAGTGAGACATACAGTATTACATATTTAAAATGCCCAATGTTGTTAGAATGTTTTAAATTTGTAGTTACTGTCACAGTCTTGACGGAATTAAGAAAAGTAGTAGTACACTTGAAGATTCCACTTTTTTATCTAGATTACACACTCTGATGCAGAGAGTACCTAGTACTCTCTATAAACAAAATTTGCTATCTCGATAGTAATATTTCAATGTAATGCTTCATTAAATGTATTATAACTAGTGCAATTCAGCAGAGGTTAAAACAAGTTATTATAGTACCTATATATAGAGGAAGAAATTGGTGTTCTGCCACTTTTTGGCAGTTATCAGTGCCTAGAAGGCTAAGATATTATATTATTACGGAGAGTTCTGCTTGTGTTTAAACAAGCAGACAACTTCTCCACCTGTATTTAAAATAGGCCTTTTTTGATGACTTAAGTAAAATCTCCTACTATCATTATATTTTCATATACTCTAGAATGGTGTTGGTACTTATATATGATTGATGTGTGCAGTACAAGGAGTTTAAAATCATTTAACAAAGAATCACTTTTAATAAGTGGTCTCTTACACTAAATTGCATGAACTATGTGCTACAACCTTATAACTCGTCCCGCAGTAGGGTATATCGGTTTTTAGAAGGCGCCAGTTTCTTGAAAGTGGACTCTGGTGGAGTGGTTACTTTCACTTCACCAATTGCTTGAGATGCCGGGTCCGGCCCGTAGTGGAATTCCCTGAAAAGAATGAAAAATATAGGCCTCAACTGGCTGGAATAAACACGGTCTAATTTTTGCTACCTGCACCCACAAAACAAAGGGTAGAACTCAATGAACATTGGTTAAAAATATACCTTATGTATACATTATGTCACCGAAAAATTATAAATACCGTTATATTATAATCTATCTCGCGATATTATAGACTGTCGAAAGACTGCAAACCGTTAACATACTGCTTACATTACAATTGGACGTATTATTTTTCGGTAGATTATAATCTACCGAAGTGAAACTGTTAAATCACAATTTGTCGGGTCTTTCGTCGTTTCGGCCGATGATGGTTGGGCCTACGTGCCGAAACAACGAACTATATAAAATAATATTTTTTTCTTCATTGATTCCGAAACGACGAAAGACCCAATGTCGCGCGTTGTCATGTCTGAATTGTCAACTGTCCGAAGGTTTGGTTGGTCTTACAGTAGGCTATTCTGTATCATAGACTTGAGGAATTCATTGGCACTTCTTTAGTTAAACACAGATTTATCTAAATTCCACGACATTTTCTTAGAACTAGTGATGTCGATGATGTGAGTTATTTACAACACGAAATCAATTTACAATCACCAAAACACTGTTTGTTAACATTCGACAACAAACAAATTTGGCGGCGTTCGTTCCGACGTTCAACCAATCAGCATACAAGGTACGTTCCGCGTCGTATGCTATTTCTGTTAAGTTGTCTTATCTTCGGACAGTATACTATCTCGCGAGATAGATTATAATCTAACGGTATTTATATGATAATATGTATATAACAAGTGACAAGTGTAACATAATAAAATAAAACCTACTGACCTGTGCAATTTGCCAGAGTACAAATCCTGGAGGAACTGATACAGTCTCCCAGGGATGTCCATTTCCTTATAGTCGGGGAACAGATACATATGCCTGAAGGAGTCGATGGCGATGAGCGGTAGATCTGACACTGACTTCCCCAAGTGGTGCAGTGGATGTTCGAACCTCTTACCGTCCGCAGTTAAAAAGTTTATGTTCTCTGTCAAAAAATAATTATTATCAATTTACTACTACTATTTCTTAAATTATTTTTAATCTCAGTCTTATTATTATTATTTTATTTTTGATTGGTAATTGGTTTTGACAACATTTTATGGATATTCCAAAGCTGCGTTATTTGCGTGTGATCAATCTTTTTAGTCTGAATCTTTCGTTTATTACATCTAGAGGTGCGGGAGGTAAAACTGAACTTTTCGGTAGTTCTGCTTAGCTCAGTTCAATGTAAATCCATTTGCATGGAGTATTTTGAGCGAAAAGAAAGATTAATCCGTGTATCTGTCATGTTGTGAGGTTAGTTTCTGTTTGAAGTTAAAAGTTTATTTATATCTTGTAAGAATCTGGTCAGACCGTTAGTTAATAGCAATTTGCGCAGATTAAACTGTGATCACGTGACCAAAATCCGTCGCATCTGCGATGCAAATACCGAACCTCAAGTAAAATGTATTTTAGAGTTTAAGTAAAGACTATCTTTCTATCTATCTTCTCTATATGTAAAAACTATCTGTCTTGTATGTGTTAAGTATTGCTGCTTTTATTATTATTGTTGTTAATTATGTTGAACAAAGTGGTATTGCAAGTTTCTACTGATAACTGTGATTATTTACCATGCATGTGTGGAATAGGGTATTTGACAGTATTAAAAATATAGTGCCAATTTTTAGCATCTGTGTTTAGAATGAATTGTGGCAGGGATTTTCACTATTTTTACAGAAAAAAATATTCATAATTTTACTAAAACCCACGAAAAAGATAATAGTTTTCTTATCTATTGTCACGTGACCCAAAACGCTTGGGATTGGCGGAGCCTAAAATGACGTCACAAGCAAGTAAATTTCCGGTTAAAGTGACAATACATTGTATCGTTTGACGTTTTAATAACAGTCGTGTGACGTCACACACCAGTGAGACGCCATATTGTCCAGAGAAACGTTTTCGAGGCAACTTGAAAATGGAGTTTTTGATTTAGTTATTTTAACTGAAATACACAACAGAATGATGAATATCCACTTTTTACGGACTCCATAAACATTAGTAAATAACGTGAGATCGTTTTCTAAAACTTGTCAAATACCCTATTGTGCTTTATAACGAAGTATTATATTATTTCTATTTCATTTAAATTTTTATCTTTGCTGCTTTACCAAATAATAAAGCGAGTCTATGCATGTATTTTATTCATTTAAATATATAAAGTAAATTTAACACGCCAAACAAAGCCTTATTTGCTAAAAATAAGGTAAACAAACAATTGGTTTAACAGCTATAATAAGACGCATTTATCATTTGAAAACGGTAAATATTCCATAAACTATACAAATAAAATCACAAGATAATTACTGTAAATGAAGATTTGTTAGTACTTACGTTTTTCACCTTCCAATTCTCTACTTATCACTTCCTTATATTTCTTTACACTTTCAGTATCAGTAGGATGGTGGAAAAGAATCAGGAAAGGCAGTCCCTCTTCAGTCAGCTCCTCAGCATTCTCGAAAGTGATCTCTCGAACAAGTGGAATGCATTTCTCTTGCACCCAACTATACAGTTCATCGAAACTGGTTAAAGAACCTTTATAAGTCTCGTCAGGTTCTGTTGACGTTTTTTTATCAGTTCTAAACACTACAATTGGTTGACCTGAAAACATTTTTTCAAGATTAAAGCAAAACTACTTTTCTCTGCATATCATATAATTTATATATTATAAAAAAAGTATATGAATCAATCAAATTTTAATTAATTGATCAAATAAACTACCATATTATAGTACCATAGTAAAATTCCTCCTCTAACCCTACTTATACAACATCAATACATGTATCTATCTATGAGTCAATATTAAATGCATGGGTTCCTGGTATCATAAATGTCTGTCTGTGTTGTCACAGATACTCAATAGGTCTGCAATGTTGGCTGCACTGCACAACATCAACAAAACCATACAGTCTCAGCTAATACCTTGTAATGAGATGCAGCCATAATCACAAAAATTTAATAGAAATTAACCAAATATGGCTTAGGCCGTATACAGAAAGAAAGCCGAAAGCCGATCAGCGCTTATCGGCGCTCCTTACTACATAAAGGAAGCCGATTAAAGCAGAGCAAGCAAAATGTCGGACTCATCGGACGATGATTTGGTTTTGTTAGAAAATGTGTATTTAAAAAATGCGAAAAAAAACTATACATCCTATAAATAGAGAAAGGAAATGTTTCGGAGAATACCATCATTTATTTGTAAAAAAATTGTAATTTGATGATCAAAGATTTTATACATATACAAGAATGACTCAGGAAACATTTTATTACATTTTGGATTTAGAGAAAAACCGTTTGGATGAAAAATTGGTGTAATTGGCATAAACAACCAATCCTTCCAGAAAAAAGACTTGTCACCATTCGGTAAGTACGAAACAAATAATTTTAGCGCTTAGTTAATAAAAGATAAAGTTATTAGATTTATAAAAAGATTATAACTTAGATTGATTTAATCTAGGGATAATAATTCAAATACAAATCATTTATTATTTGGACAACATAGATCATAATGACCAGCTGACCAGCGCGTGTCGGCATTTGTCGGCGCTTATCGGCGCTGGTCCATAGAAAAGGATCGGCTTTCGGTTTTCTTTCTGTATACGGCCTTACTCCAGTTTAACACATTATTCTTGCTTTGTCAATTATTTAACGCCTAATAAATATAGAGTAAGGTTTAAAGATGCTTAGCTTTTAAATTTGATTTAAAAGCTTTTGTGCAAGTGGGCCTTAGTGAAAGCAACACTGTCAAAGTATATACAATTTCTTAAAGTACTACCTAACTATTGAATTTAACCATAACAATGGTTACTTGTTCCAGCTAAATTTTTATGTTAGAAATCAAATACAAATATGAACACCATCCATAGCGCGAGTGACCCTGGTTGAATTCCAGTGTAGCAAATGATATTTTATAGATAAATACAAGTATTTGTACCTTAGTCATTGATCTTTATGTATATTTCACTTAGATTAAAACAAATAGAGAAGATACGGCACTCGCGGCTCATAAGTGATCCGCTTAAATTGTGGTGCATGTCCACAATTCATACAGCATGTCGCTTTAGTCACAATTGGACATTCAATGCTGGACACGCTGTATATGCACTCAATATAACAATTTTGCGTTTATTCTGTGTTATAAAGATGAAACAATGCCTTCGATGCTTTTATAAAGAACACAAATAGTTACAAACATAGTTTACTCGGCAACACTTTTCAATCGTAAAACTGTAAAAACCATTTTTTTCTCAAAAATCATGGTTTGTCGTGAATGTTATTTACGTAATCGCCATTTTGTTATCAAGAAAAGGACAACAATACAGCTTAGCGGTTCAGACACTGATGCGGACTCGCCGTTTCGGTCGCGCTGCGTTGATCATACAGTTCTGTCTCGCTCGCTCGATTGAATGTATATTTACAGACGTGTGCGTGTGTTACAGTTACTTATGTAGTTGAGTCGGAGCATATTTTATTTGATGCTAGTATGAGGGTACCGTATCTTCCCTTTTTGTTTTAATCTAAGATATTTCCTGGCAAAATTATTTATATATGTATCAGTATATTGATTCTGTGTGAGTGTTGAAAATATTTATTTATTGATTCATAATCTCAAAAGTTATTGTAAATACCACAAAGACAATATCGTGGTTATGCAGGCAAAACCAATTTTGACGACTTTATCAAAAATCTTTTTATTGCATGCATTGACTAAGTTTTTTCTGCTCTATCGGCAGGTAAAACCCTTTTCTTCATCAAACGCTCCGTTTCGAAGTTATCGCATGTAAAAACCAATTTTAAGACTAGTTAGCCGAGCAAGGCTACAATGAAAATAATTTATGTTGACATAATAAAATTTTTACCGGTTCGGATCCCATGCAAAACAAAATAACACAGTAAAAATGGTTTTCCTTTACAGAGTTTATTGTAATCTTTGTGTGATTTCATCTACAAAATCAAATTACATGAAGATAACATACGCAAGAACTATTATGATTTCAGGCAAAAAATAGTATTATCATGTACTTGCTTTTCCGCGAAGTAATTCATTAGTGTATATATCAATTTGATCCTAGCAAAAAGTTTATTTGCGTCTAAATGTGTTTTGTTTGAACGAATTTAAAACATGCGCGAATGAAATACCTTCAGCGAAAACCAATTATACTCTCGTACAAATGCGCCGGCGTCAGTTTGGTTCGGTGCTCAGTATAAACGGTTACAAGTTACCTTTTTCTTTGTGATTACTGTCAAAATGAATAAAAAAAAAATACAAATGTTACCAGTGAATCACTCGAAGTTGGATAAAATGAACCAATTTGTAAAACTAGGTTCTTTTTCGGTTTTTAACTTTGAGTGACAATTTTTTTTTTAGTAATAAACTACACTTACGAGCTTTGTGCGTAAATATCAAGAATGTATGTACTGCATAAACTAAGCTTCACGGGTTGGTGAGAGGTATGTACCTATAGTAGGACTTTATTCAACATCAAAATAGACCAGTATACGCTGAGCTCTTGTCTGTATCCTGCGTAGTACGAATAAGAGCCCAGTTTATACTGGTACATCTAATTTGACGTGAGATTCATAAGGTATAGTATACAGAATGTAACAAAATGTCGAAATAACATTTAAGGGCCTGATTCTGCTGTTTAAGTATGTTTTGGCATGGTAGAATTTAGGTGCTTAAGAATCAGGTTACCTGGCACAAACAAATTTGTGTTTTGAATTAACAATATTTAACTTTATGTAGGTATGAATATATATACCTAGTCTTTTTCTTTTTTCCAGTAAACAATATCTATCTGAATAAAGATCCATTTTCCAGGGTCACTGGAACTGTGGTGCGTGGTGGACTGTCAATTAATTAGTTCAATATCTGAATTACTCACACAGAGGGTAAATTATTAAAGAGAACTCTTGTATTAATGAGACCGACCGTACCCTACCTTTCTGCCTTCTCATCATACCCCATATTATAAGATTTAATTAATTTATGTGCAAAAAACGTTATTCCCGAAGAATACCAGGAATAGTTCAAATCACTTCCAAGTGAAAAAGATAAAAAGGATCTATTACCTGATGCAACGCTTTCCGATGAAGAGTATTAAGATTTTAAACTTAATCATCATTTGGATCATACCCTTTATTTTATTATAATTTTTCTTTTTGTTCACGTTTCGTAATTTTGTCTCCTTTTCATTTTAATAAATAATTTCAATGCATTTTTATTTTTATTCAGTAAATACTAATTTAGTACATTTTTTTTTAAGTTTTGACGACTTACCATATTTCTCTTCCTAACTAGTTCAGGAAAAACCAAGTTTAAATTAGGAATTATCGTAGATGTGCTCACAATTTTGTGTAGATTTGTTTTTGTATAAAGTACGTAGATATTACATTTAAAATACTACCACGTCATTTATGATATTTATACGTAATGTGAATGATTCTCTAGATAATCACGATTTTTATTCACCAGGGAAAACCAATTACGAATGGTCCATTTTTTGTTTGAACAAATAATTTGCAGACTTCCCTTTTCTTTTTCATATTAAAGTTGTACTTTAACCCAAAATGATGAATTCAGGCCCACCATGACCATACTTCTGGTTGCATTAAAAAGATCTTTAAAACTTTAAAAGGGCTTTGAACTTTATGTAGCGGATTTCTCGATTTGGGTAAATGTCGCATAATTGGTTTTGCCTGCATAACCACGATATTTAAGTTTCATTCATTATAGGAAACACATAATTTACCTGGAGGGTGCATTTGTTGTGAGGCATCTCCAAAACCAACATGGAAAAGGCATTCATCTTTAAGATTAGCTGCCACCTTTCTGAGAATTTCATACTCGGGCTGATCTCTCCTATCCATGTAACCTATGATGTGCCTCTTCTCTTCACTGAGATCATGCAGTTCTTTCAGTGATCCAAAGGTCACCACAGGATCGGTGAGCTGTTTTTTAATAAACTCTGCAAATGCTTCAACGGATCTCTGTCCTGAAATATGAAACAGTATTTATTTTTTATTCGTGAGTATCTGCAGAAGTCCAGTGTCAAAGCATCAAAGAGTGTTGTTGAATATATTTAACAACCGTTAAATTAAAGTAATAAAAAAAATTACTGATATATTCATTAAATATTTTCAACCATAGCAAATAAAAATATTAATTCCGTTCATGTTGATTTTAATGTGCTAGTTATTTTATTTTGTACCTATAGTTAAATGTAAGAAACTAATAAAATTATCATAATGAATAATTGCAATCACAGACTAAACTTATAAAAATATTGACAGTAAATCAACTTGTAAAAAATATTCAGATTGTATTTGAATAAACATATAAACCAATATTTTTAACCTTTAAAATTGTTTGATATTTTTATTCAATCATTAATTTTTAACTAATTTTTTTTTCAATTAACGCCACCTTTAGCGTCACAGCATCAAATCCACATTGAAATCAAATAATAGTGTAAAACAGCTATTTTGTATCATTCTTTTCATAAAAGTTTGCTTATTCTGACACATTTTATCATAAAAATATTTATACTGCTGACCTCTGTATTCTTTTTTAGCTGGTAAACCATTCCTAAAAAGTTTCAAAGTGGGGTACTTTGTTATATGGAATCTTGTTGCTATGGCTCCTTCTTTATCACAGTCAACTTTGCCCATTACAACTTTACCAGGATCATACCCAGCCTTTGACACTTCATCTGATGCATCATCGAAAGTAGGCATCAACATATTGCTAAATCTGCACCATTCGGCATAAAAGTTTATGAACACTACCTCATTGGATGCTGTAACAAATACAAATAGTTTGGTAGATAAATAAAAATTTTAATGAGAATGATAGATTAGTTGTAAATGGATTGATGACCTCTGTGGCCGAGTGGTTTGTACGCTGGGTTTCATGGTGTAGCCGACTCTAGAGGTCCCGGTTTCGAATTCCAGTGGGGACAAATGTTTGTGTAATGAATACAAGCATTTGTACACCAGTCATTGATGTTTTAATATGTTTTTCTATATAAATATATTTATATATGCACAGTAAATGTATTCTATCCGTTACCCTAGCATCCCAGTAACAGAGCTTACTTTGGGGCTCGGCTAATTGGTGTGAGTGTTGGAGATATTTATTTATTTATTTTATTTATAAGGATATTTTTGTATATATGAGAGAGATATTTTCACTAGTACATTTTTTAAATATGACAACTTTTTAATGGGTTTAAAATGCACTTTTTAATACTTTTTAGGGTTCAGTAGTCCTGGCAAGGAACACTTATAGTTTCGTCATGTCCGTCTGTCTGTCCATTCCCGGTTTTGCTTGGAGACTGTTAGCACTAGAGAGCTGTAATTTTGTGGAGTTATGTATATCAATCACGCCGACAAAACGAAAGAATAAAATTTTGAAAAAAAAATACCACTTAATATATGTGGCCTACTAGTCCAATTCATTCAATCTTTATCAAATCATGAGGTATATCCAGCTAATATTTAAATATATTTATCCATATCCACATCTGTTTATTAAATCCGGAGTGTGATTTGTTTAATCCACTTCAGATCCTTAACACAAATCTTTTGATTTTCCTACATACTTAACCGGCTAACTTCATTTTTAGGACTGTCAATCAGTATTTAATTTTAATTATTTAAAAAACAGTACATTTCAAAACATGTTTAAAAGTTTAAAGTTTAAATAGAAAGAGTAACATTTAATTAATTATCAGAGGCCTAAGCACGAATTATTAACAGCACCATAACAAACTGCATTGTCAAAGTTAGTATGAAAATGATCAGCTCCATCCATACAAAATTTGATGATAACAATACATTACGGAGCTGTCAAAGTCGTGCTTGGTCTTCAATACAGCACCTAGCTATGAAATAATATAATATCAGCACTCACATGCTTTAAACTTGCTGGCGTTTTATGGTAATAAAATTTTATTGAGCACTAAGTTCAACAGAACATACTTTATCTAGCGCTTTCAGAGCTCTACTTACTCATGTCTGTTCTGTAGCTAGTCAGCCCGTGATTGGCCAAATGATTTGCTAGTTGATTCATGTCATTAGATTGATAAATGGAATGATTTGTTGTATATCCTGCATCAGATATACTTCCTGGATATAACTGCGTCTGGATATACACAAGTCTACTTTCATTTAGATATTTTATTTTAGTCCAGATACATAGTTTGATAATAATTGATTTTTAAAAAATTCCCATACGAAAAATGGAATCCTGCTCAAATATATTGGGGTGACAATAGGCAACTATGAAACCCTACACTGCCCATGGCACGACACGCACTTGGCCTTTTTGCTTTACAATTCAAATATTTGTTCAAGAAAAACACATTTTAAACCCATACAAGAGTAGTTTTATTTAATGACTATGCATGAAAATATAAGAAATAAATAGTCACATTTTCTTTATATATAAAATCCTGATTAATGGTAATAAATAATAAGATAAGATCTGAAATTATATTTACATTTTCTTTTACCAAATACAGTAAATTCTTTAAATAATCCAGAAATCTGATGCTAAAACCTAATTGTCTAGAATTATTATGATACTTACAGAATACCATCTCTCATCTCAGAAAATCAAGAAATATTTTGAAAGCATTTTATATTTTTAATTCTATGAAGTGGTCTAGTTTTATTAAATTTTTAGAAAGCTTATTGGATATTGTATTTGGTGTATTTTGATATAAAATAATCAATCCTCAGCAGAAACCACTGTATGCTGTATCCCTACATCATCAATTTGCCGGAATACTAGAATGCGCACGCAGTAACTCACCTAATACCATATCTAAATTACTTTGAGTAATTTGAACTGCACCGCTATCGGTGGGGTTGTAAAAACAGTGGCATAACTGAAACCAAACATTATTAGAACAATTAAACACCAATTACTTAGTCGTATTTAACCATAAAATCAACACAGTTCACACGTCACAATCTTGTGATATTTATATAGGTCTAAATTTACGTTACTTACTAAAATAAGTATAGAATTTTTTAACGTAAATACATTTGCATTATATAAATGCATTATTAGATTCTTTCAATGTGCTAGCTATTTTAAAAATTACGGTGATGGATGGATGGCTTTCTTTCCTTCTTTTCTTTCCTTGTAAAGCCGACCCCTGCCGATCCAACGTACATGACATAACCGAACCACAGATTACAGAGGTTATGCCGGCACTTCATTTGGCTACCTGAGTTTGCTATTTGTTGTCCCTATGATATGGATAGATGTTGTCAAGTTTATGTCAGAAACATATTATATAGAACGTGTCGTGGCCTTGGTCGTGGCGAATCGGTTTCATACATTTACAATGGGTTAGAGAGAGAGAAAGAGGTTAAAGCACCGCCACGACATGACACGTTAATATATTTCGGGCTTTACAAGTTACCGTAGAAATCATGGACTTATTACAACGCTTGTAAAATATGTTTTGATTTTTGAAAAATTTTTTTTGCAACTTTGCAACCCTCCCACTCCCTTAAAGCGCCTGCCGCAGGGACAATCTAGGGTGTAAGAGTGAGGATGACCCTAAATTGCCTCCTGAATTGTGATGTGTGTAGGCAAATTGGGGCAATTTTCTTAATCGGGCCTGCGGCAGAGCGGCAGGATCGCCCGACCACCCTTGCTCACTACATTGTCCCAACCGCCCTGCACGTTGCCGCGTGTGTAGCGCGATTGGGCCAATTTCTCAATCAGTCGGTTAGTAGCTGTCACACGCAGCGCACGTATTTCGATCAAGATGGCGGCAGATCATAATGATCATGAAGTTTGGACACGCGTGATCGAAGTATATAAAGATCGGCCCCACATGTGGGATAAAAAAACAAACATTATTTATTATTTTTTTTAATTAAAACCATCATTATTTTAAGTATGTGAGTGCTCGATGTTGAAACCTAAAGAAAATATTACTAGAAAATTAGAAATCTTTTTTTTTTTATTTTTTCTTGTTTTCTTTAGATTCAAATATTGAGCAGTTACATGCTTAAAAAATTAATTTATTAACTTTAATTGCTATTTCTTCTTTTAAATGTTTAATACGTGTAAAGGTATTCATTTTGACATTGTGGACATTTAATACGAAGAGATGGCGCTGCCTTGCAGCTTAAGAAAGGCTAGAAAGAATTCGATAGCGCTGTCAGGGCCGCGGTAGCATAATTGATCAGTGCATTCGCCCGGATAGCGGAGGGTGTAGGTTCGAGTCCCGTCTGCTGCCAGGTCCGCGTGGATTTTTTTCTAATCATAAACATTACTTTTTAATAACATTGGGACCATCATCAACGCGTGTGTTTAGCTCAACATACGCCCGAACACTGAATAGCAGGCATGTGTGTAGAGACAAGCCGATATTGGGCCGACCGCCCGTGCACCCTAGATTGTCCCTGCAGCAGGCATGTCAGTAGCGCGTTTTACGTCACGCTGAAATCGTTAGCTTATTGAAATACACACTTTTCAGCATGTAATTAAACCACCTCGAGTATTTCCGCCTATCGATTTTTTTTACTATTCTGATCGGCTGGTCTACGCGCGTGGCACTACATGGAGAACTCAGATTTGGTAGAGGTACTCAACTAGATGTAAGGTATCTTCCCATATATTAATCTGCCGCGCTCGAGTAAATCCCAAAATCCCCTCTTGGGCTCCCCTATTATTACACATCATACGCGACTACTGTAAGGCTCGCTCGTTTTTTTTACCACATACTGGCCAAAGTTAAGGCAGAATTAATGGTTAAACAAAAAAATGGATGCGTGTAACTTATGTACGCGCGTGAGAAGTTATACTTCTTTAGCATCATTAAAAATATTTTTTAATTGCATGCCAATAATTAATAATTACAATAAAATAATAAAAGGACTGGAAAAGGATAGTTAACACAGTCAATTAAGTTCAGTTTTAATTTGAAAAATTAAATAAATATTCGAAATATTCAATTAAAATCACTACTGAATTTAAGTTATTAGTCCATATGTAATTAGCACTTGTAAGTAACTAAAACACGTTGTGTCTATATAGAAACTAGAAACATGTGGATAAATATTATAAATATGAAAACAGTGATCAGAGGCGACGAGCGTGCCAACATTGTTTTTGACAACGCGATCATCTTATGGAGCTCCGTGGATCGTTCAAAGTACCTTTCGAACAGATGTCTAATAATGGTGGATTATTAACCACTAAGTGGTTAATAATCCACCATTATTAGACACTAACATTCATAACGCGCCCGCGGCCAACTTCATGGTGTTACTATTGTGTTACAGTGATGCGCGCGCATCTCGAAATTTCACTCACATGATTTTTTCATAACGCGCCCGCGGCTAACTTCATTATGTTACTTTTGTGTTACAGTGATGCGCGCGCATCTTAAAATTTCACTCTCATAATTTTTTCATAACGCGGCTAAAGAAGTATAACTTCAAAAATTAATATTTCCAACACACATACACACCAATTAGCCTAGCACCAAAAGTAAGCACTGTAGATTGTGATATGGGATACTACGGCAACGGATAGAATACATATACTGCTACATATTTAAGAATATTTATATTGAAATATAAGACATAGGTGTCAATTCTGACACGATTCTCTAAACCCAAACTTAAATTTGACAACAGCGTATCCTTTTCATTCTCTTTATGGAAGGAAAGAGAGAGATTGATGTTAAATTTAGTTTTAAGTTGAGAGAATCACGCCAGAAGAGAACATTTTCGTGCTATGATTTTTTACGATTTTAAATGTGGCTTAAAACCTGATAAGTCATTTGATCGATTTCGCATTGCTTTTATGGATGAAGCACCTTATAGCGCTGGTGTAGCGAGTTCAAACGCAGTCGTCTTACTTTGGTCTTACCGTGTGCATTAAGCCTGTGACAAGTCCTCGGTGGACATTTTTTTAGAGACTTGTCCTCCGCGGAGAAAAGTCCATCGTCTGCGCAGGCCATTATACATACCTGAATATCTTATATTTAGGAAAATTAATTAGATTTCAAAATATATAGACTGCCTATCACTGATATACGTGGGTTCTAATCAGTGTACCTCGAGGGTCAATGACTTTAAATTTGAAACTTTTGACCTAGTGGTGTAGCCGACCAAGAGACAACGGCCAAGGAGTCTACCGACTATGGGTCGCCGGCGAGGGACGTGGGGATCGCTTTAATATCTAGCGATTGACTCCGGCCACGCTGACGGAGTGAGGTTACTTGGAACCACTTGTAGTTGGGATCGACTACCAGCCATGTAACTACAGTTCCCGATGTCGCGCAAAAAGGTAAACTCTATGTCCCTTTATCCTCACCATAATCCTGGTGCCTTAATTTTTGATATCGGCATCCCAGCTGTGGCTCCGTGGCGGGTGGGACTGGTGAGGATGAAACTTGACTGACATGTGGAGGGGAACAAAACAGATCCCAAAATATTACTGAGATGACATCACCTGGAAACCTGGTGAAGGGGGAAACCCGGTGACAGACAGACAAACAAGACAGACAGACAGTCAGATTACCTGGTCAAGGGGAAACCCGGTTTCAGGCACCATACCGATCGACCCGACAGACAAAGGACAGACGGACAGACAAACTGACAAGGGACAGACGGACAGAGAAGGATCTCGAACAGGCCCAGACTGGACGACACGGTCTCACCGAGGGGGCAATATACGAAGCCTAGATCCAAGGGGTCGCGTCGAACAATGGACAAAATATCTTTCGCAGATGCAGCTACAGCCGACTTGCTCGTAGTAATTACGAGCAAAAAGACAGGCCACATCAGGGCCGCCCATGCTGGGTTTGTCCTTGAGGCTCTGGAGGACGCCGTTGTAGAGGAACCCTTATGGCAGGACTCTCAACGGACGAAGGCCCGAACCTCAAGGGTAAGCCCATCATTGATCACGGAGATTTGAGCCTATGGTGTGAGACACCCCGCACGCTGGAGTGAGTTAAGCAGAGAAGAAGACCGTAGCCAGCCTAAAAGTCCCGGGGTATGAGGACGAATTGATGGTTCAGCGCCAAATTGATAGACCGAAGAAGGTGGTGTGTGGACTAATTGTCCCGGGTACGAGGGAACCACCCACGATAGCCAAGTTGCTGCGCTATCAAAACAAACAGGCAGACGTCGACCGATGGTTGTTACATAAGGCCATTGCAGTGGATGACAAAACATTCCTGGTGTTCAGCACCACCAGGGATGTCGCAGAGAAGCTGCTAGCGAGAGGCAGGAGATTATGCTATCTAATGAGTTCGGTGTAAGTTAGGTATGGGGGGGGGTCTATACCAGAACAGCCTGCTTCCTTTAGAGCACCCTACCTTCACTCCGATACGTAGCTCGTCAGGGGGCATAGTAACATCAACGCCTGACCTAAAACCGACTCCATCTCCTACGGATCCCACTTTGGGGGAGAAGGGAGCAGCAGACGTTATAGACAAATAGGCCGACAAACTTGGTGAAATCAACATCGGGCAGGAGGTAGATGTCGACGTTTTGCTTGCGCCTGGTAGCACCTACACCAAATAAAATCAAAATTCTCCTGGCGTACCCCCAGCACAGTCGCAGAGCAACGGCTCAACTCAGGAAGTGGCTGGAGGATAACAACGACGGGGCTATTGCTCTAGTCCAGGAGCCGTGGATCAGATCCAACATCATATGTGGCCTCAGCAACACCGGTGGAAAGAATTTTTACAACCCAGGTAACAGCGCACCGCGGACCTGCATTATATGTTTTAGACACCTACAGGCAAAAATAATGACACATAACAACAATCCAAATAATACAACAGCAAAATCCAAGTGTACCTGTCCTGGTAGTTCCCTCTCCCTACATGCCTGAAGTCTCCTTCAGGGGAACTGGCTGAGCTGGTGAGACACTGCGAACAAACAGACAAAGCGCTGATCATCGGCCTTGGAGTCAGGGCCGATGATCAGCGCCTTGTCTGTTTGTGCCCATTATCAATTGTGGGGCATGACGCAAAGCAACTAACAAGGTAAGGAATTAGTAGATTACCTATAATTTTTATTATTTTTAAAGCATGTAACTGCTTGATGTTTAAATCTAAAGAAAATATAACTAGAAAAAATTCCACGCGGACCAGGCAGCAGACGGGACTCGAACCCGCACCCTTCGCAATCCGGGCGAATGCACTGACCAATTATGCTACCGCGACCCTCACGGACCGTGTCGAAATTCCTTCTAGCTATTCTTAAGCTGCAAGGCAGCTAATAAAATAGCTAATAAAAATTATAACTATAAAGTAGCTAATAAAAATTATAACTATAATTGCTATTTCTTCTTTCAAATGTTTAATACTTGTAAAAGTATTCATTTGACATTGTGGGTTTACCTATAATGCGAAGAGATGGCGCTGCCTTGCAGCTTAAGAATAGCTAGAAGGAATTTCGACACGGTCCGTGAGGGCCGCGGTAGCATAATTGGTCAGTGCATTCGCCCGGATTGCGAAGGGTGCGGGTTCGAGTCCCGTCTGCTGCCTGGTCCGCGTGGAATTTTTTCTAGTTATATTTTCTTTAGTAGATTACCTATTTACCACAAACCTTAATATAATAAACACAGGATCTGAACCTACATAGTACACGGTACAGCGTGTTACCCAGTCACCCAGACACATACCTAGTAAAACGAACGAAAACGAACAGAAGCCAATATCGCAGAAAGATAACTCGATTTCTGCGACATACGCAGTTTGAAAGTTTAGACGAAACCAATAAGATACACGAGACAGCTGAGGAATTAACAAGGGTAATCATCTCATGCTACTCGACAGCCTGTCCTCTCAGTACACCATCATCCAACTCGGATACCAACCAGTCATGGTGGGGTCCCGAGCTACAAACTGAGGGAAAATGTAAGAAGACTTTTAACAGGGCCATAAATACATGTGACAACCAGGAATGGGATGCGTACAAATGCCAAGGCTCTTTATAAGAGCCGACACTGCAATGGGTCTTGGAGGAAATTTTGTTCAGAAATAGATTTTTGCAATAAAGCAAATAACGTAAGGAAACTGCTATCTAAAGACAGGCAGCAAGACCTAGCACAGCTTCGGAAAGCTGGTGGCTCCCTCACATAGACAACGGAGGAGGCACAGAGGGTACTACTTTAAACCCACTTTCCGGGCTGCATCATACACACGACACGTACTTGGAATGACACTAGCTGGACCCCCTAGGTACAATCCTGGGACACTGCAGTGGGGACAGTGTCTATGGACAAGTTAAGGTGGGCTATTAACAGCTTCCAGCCATTCAAGGCAGCCGGACCAGATGGCATCTTTCCGGCGCTATATCAATGGGCAAGTGAAGCGCTAATCCTTATTCTGGTGTCCCTTCTGAGAGCGTGATTTGCATTTAGATACATGCTGAAGTTCTGGAGGAGGTCAAGGTAATCTTCATTCCAGCCAGGTAAGGCAGACTACAACGAAGCGAAATTTTTTCGACCATTTCATCATTTTTGCTAAAGTATTTAGAAAGACTGTGCGACAGAGAGCTGAGCGACAACCAATTAGTCAATATTCCATTACATCCGAACCAACACGCTTATATTCCAGGCAAGTCGACAGAATCTGCACTACATGCAGTCGTAAGTAAAATAGAGGATAGTCACAGACAGAAAGAGCTATGTTTGGGCACTATAGAGCTGCTTTTGACAAAACAAGTCTCGCCAGCATTGTAGACGCCCTCGGCAAACACAAGTAAATGAGACTATCATATACTGGGTAAGCAACATGCTCCGTAACAGACTTATCAGACTACAGGACGAAAACCATCTCAGAGCATTGGCGACTAAAGGATGTTCTCAAGGAGGAGTACTATCGCCTCTGCTATGGAATGTAGTTGTAAACGACTTAATCACCAAACTAAACAACCTTTACTTCCACACGGTGGGCAACGTAGACGGCCTGGCAATCATAATCCCGGGTAAGTATGCGAGCACCGCCTGCGATGTTACATGGTGGGGCAATGAGGGTGGTTGAAAAATGGTGTGACGACTATGGCCTCAAGGTGAATCCAGTGAAGACAGAACTGGTCATGTTCACCAACAAAAGATCCTTAGGCGACTATCGGCTACCGAAACTATTTAACACGACACTAAGGCTCTCCAACGAGGTAAAGTATCTAGGAATAACTCTAGACTCCAAACTGAACTGGGTATACCGCATAGACAAAACTACTACTAAGACCAACATCATTTTTGGCAATATCGTAAAATGATTAGCAAAACTTGGGGACTATCACCGTTCATTGTTAGGTGGCTGTACACGTCTATAATTAGGCCCATCATCAACTATGCAGAAGTAGTATGGTGGACCAAGACAATCCAGGTAACGAGAATTAATAAGTTGAGACGTCTCCATAGGCGGGCCTGCTGTGCAATCACCGGCTGCATGACAACCACTTCCACATGGACTGGATGACTGGAGACAATACTTAACGTGAGACCCTTCCATTTATTTATACAACAGGAAGCTGCTTGTACAGCTACACGCTTAAGCATGCTGGGACTATGGAGGGACAACTCCCCACGTACCAGCATCTTAGCAGACATACATAGGCACTTTCCGTACTTTGCAGCAGTAAACGACCTTATAGATTAGACGTACGTATTCGACAAAAAATATAAAATAGGATATAACTTTATGAAGACACTCCAGACCGTTGTCTGCATAAGGAACTGAGGGGACAGATGGATCAAAAACCAACTGTGGCACAGAGTCGCGTGTCTTCTCGTCAAAGACCTAATCATTGCACATCTCAAAAGCATTGAGAGCCTATAACACGCTCTTCCAAGCAGAGTGTGTGGGGGCAGTGTGTGGTAATGGGATAACATATTCGTATTCTCTGATAGCAGTTCTATCCTACAGACACTGGACAACAATATAATGGCATCAGGCTATATTTTTCAATGCCACTGTTAGTTGACTAATATTTGTAACGACAATAGGCTGACCCTACAGTGAATTAAAGGACACACCGGCTCAAGGGGCAACGATACGGCGGACTGCTTAGCTAGGGAAGGGTCCAGCAGGACATAGACAGGCCATTGGCCCGGAGCCAATTGTACCCATACCCAATCGACAGCTGAGAACCTGGATAAAGGAGCGCTGCCAACAACAACACGACGAATACTGGGCAAAACTCACGGACTGCAGGCAAGTTAGGGAAGCCGTTCCTAAGGTTAACCTGCAGCTATCACGTTAGTTAATCAGACCACCCAGACAAGCCCTAAAACGGGTCACGGCTACTTCAACAAACACCTTTGTAATATAGGTATTTCTGACAGCCCTCTGTGCAGAGCCTGCCGGGAGACGAGCGCCCATGTTCTGCTGGAGTGCAGAGGCGTTGCAAGACAAAGAACTTCTCTAATGAGAAGTCCGCGGATACCACTAAAGGCCTGCATCAACATCCGGGGACTGCTGAGCTTTCTGGAGGAGCTGGGATGGCAGAACTGATGCCAATCCCCACACAAAATAGGCACACCACACTAAGACTATTAAATAATAATATTGATCCGTTTAAATTATTCTTATTTTGACACTCAAACCCTATTCAACAACATTGTGCAACTACATTTAATTGAAAACTTTTAATTAACTAGCTGTGCCCGCGGTGTTACCCGCGGTTTATTAGGGATAATTTCCCGCAGTCAAACGTAGCCCATGTGTTAATCCAGGGTCTCAGCTAACTCCATACCAAATTTTATTAAAATTGCTCCAGCCGTTTAGACGTGAAGAAGTAACAAAGATACACACTCATAAACTTTCGCCGATATAATATTAGTGTGATTTACTACAGACAAACAAATGAAGAATTCCACTTAAGGGGCAATGATTGTATGGTCTACCCTATATGGAATGAAGTATAGAACTAACTATACTTGTGTCGCGATGTGTCAACAGAATTCTCACTCTAATGTATGTATGAAATAGATAGAGCAACACAAAATATGGGATAAATGTAGTTCTGCCATTAGACTTTAAAACCAGTTGGCGCATTTTAGGGTACCACCACAATTCTTTACTGAATATTATGGGATTTGTTTCATTACTAAAAAATTGAATTAAATAGACAAATCATTGTTAAATGCAAAACTTAAATTTGCGAAACATCTAGAATAATGTTAAAATAAGAAAAAAATGACAAAATGAATTTTTCAGATTTTAATGTTTGTATGAAACTTTGTATAAAATACATTATTAATAAGTCTTATTATATTTATATCATCCACAATATTCGAACAAGCAAAGTGAATCCATTTTTGGGTTAGGTAAAATACAACATATTTTCTTTGCAAATTAAATTACATATATATTCAGTTTAGATATAGTTTTACAAATATTTGTTTGAAATTAACAGAAATGTGAAAATCGAAATAATGATTTATTATGTAGATTACATAAGGTTTGCTTGTTTTCATAAAAATACAGAGCAAAGTGTAATAAATAACTATTGTTACACGTCAAATGGATGAATGAAAAAAAATATTCTTATGTCAAAGTAAATGAAATATGTAGTTCCATAGAAACAAGTAATATTTCTACAATACACCACTGTACTACATTTACTACATTTAAATAATATAATAATTCCATAACTCTTGCCAGCTTTTTAAAATAAATGTGATAGATATATTATTATGATTAAGTAACACTAGTTATGTAAAAAAATAGTTATTTACATAAAGCATAAACAATAATCATATAACTTTTTAAGTTGAATAAATGAAATAAATGTCATTAATAGTATGTTTACCACATAAGCAGATGGAATATTAAATTACATAACCAGATCATTTGTATATAAAAATGCACATTAATAATCTTAAATTGTTATCATTATGCTCAATAAAACATTTTATTAAATATATTGAAAAAATAATTAAGGCACTAATTGTTTTATTCAGTGCAAAGATCTTTTGAAAATCACATCATGAACAATTTTATTATTTTGATAGGTTCTCTATGATTTTTAAACGCTATGTAAAAGCCATTTTACAATAAACATGGAGAATATCTAACCTTTTAATGTTTTGCACTAACAGGTTTCCTAACATTTTATCACTGCACAAACCTATTTTGTTTGAGTGATTTTTGGTATTTATATAATGTGCTGGCTATATACAGCGGCTTTTATCATGTCAACTAGTTGCAGGGACGATATATCAAACTATCAACTATCCTATCCTTATTGATTAAGAAAAACAATAATATCTGGACGGCAAATCAATGGTATGGTAATTAATGTAATGGAATGGTATTGAAACATAAAAGAAAGTTTTAAAACATGAGATACTTTCCTCATCCTTAATATAATAAAAAAGTATTGCTTAACTTTTAGCTATTTTGTTATCAGATAGTTCAACAATAAGACACCAGTAAGTATACTTGTAATTGGCTTCACTGCCAGGCTGCCACTCTGAAATTGACAAAGTAAGGTCATTAATTGATAGTAATGTTATAAAACACGAGTGTTAATTTATAAAATTCCAATAAACAAAGTTACTTACAATTACATAGTAATTACATCTATCTCCTTGACAACAATCGGAGCACGCCCAATCTTGATACCAAATGTGTGTGCATAAAGGCATGAACCGCTGTCTCGTCAAGGCACATTCTGTTTTATTTGAGCATCGCTTAGAAATATAATATTGTTTCTTAGCGCCTTGGGACCAGTATGGGGTACTACCCCAACGAATTTCTGTCAGACATACGTCTTGATTATATTCACACGTTTTGATTGACTTAACACATTTTTCTGAATTGTCTTCCTGATTTTCACACACGTAACATTCTAAGCTGAAAACTGAAATAAACATTCATAGAACTAAACAATGTAAACAAAACATTTGACAAAGAACGCCGTTGGTAGAAATTACCTTGCATGACATAAAGTAATAAAAACGCTACCAAATGAAGATAGCTTTTCATCGTGGTTAGATGTAATTTATTAATTCAGGAACAAATAAAAACAAGAATTTTACAATGAAATCGAAAACTAATGGACGGACTGAAAGTTCACGAAACGAACGAAACTACTTTTGCCCCAGTGCTGCCATCTAGCCCCTCCCTTCGTTCATCCTTCACAACAAACAACTATCACAGATAACTTAATATAAACTAAAGTCCTCTACGCACTATCCAACTTGCTATGATGTTGCTGGATCCAGAGATCCAGCCTTAGAGTATCTATAACGGGAGACGCCATTACAGACATTTCCCCTCTGTTAAAAGGTACAAGACCATTGCTCTAGTGCGTTTATAAAAACTAGTTCCCGCGCGACCGTTACCATATTGAATTGTTCCGTGTCGCGAGTCGGAGCTCTCACAAAAATGGCAAATTATTTTGTGTCCTTATGCAAAAACCACTTCAATCCAAACAAACATGGTGTTTCCTATTATATACAAGATTTTTTAATTACTAAGAAGTTAGTATTTTGGTATTAAATTCAATTAAAATAAAAGGCACTGAATGACGAATTATTGACAAAATTAATAGATAAAAATTCATAGTGATGTGACGAAAGGTGAATGAAATGAATGAATGGCATTTTTATTACTGCCGATGTAAAAGCAATTTGATAAAACAAATAGATAGATTTTAATAATAAACGAACAATCATTGACGATCCATTATAAACAATACATAGGTGTCGACCCTGGCATGTATTATTTTCTAAACTTAATTGAACATCAGGAATTCCTTTTCTTTTTGTATACAGAATGACAAGGATACTGTTATCATAAATTTTAGTTTTAGTTAATTAAGCTATAATCGACACCATAATGAACTTACTACTTTTTAATTTGTTTGTTTGTCTATCGGTTTATTTGATAACGGGCAATACATTGATGTAAACAGATTAAATAAATCAAATTAAGTAATTAGTTATCAGGTCAGTTGCCTATATCGAGAGGCTTTTATAACCGCGGTAATTGGTATTGCGACGGACCTTGTACTGAGAAGAACCGGCAAGAAACTCAGCTAGAGCTGTTTTTTGAATATGAGATAGCTCATGAAGTCGTTTTCCATTACAAATGAAAATGATATAATAATTATTACTATAATATTAAAAAAAATATAAAAAACTGATTTAACAAAATTTAAGCTTAGGAATGTTTATGAATGCTGTGTCCTACTGTTAAGGCATAAAAAATGTACGATTAAAGTTAAATACAACGATTAATGTAACAAGAGCAGACTCATCTCCGCTGGCAGCACCCGTTCACGAGCATTATGTATGAACCAGCAATCGCTTCGCTCAACAATTTTTAGGGAACGTAATGACCCACCTCACAGGACACCGCCGTAGAGATTTTTAATGATAGTATAATTAAGTAGAACTTTTTTTTAATAGCTTTTAAATGTCAAATCCAGAGGTAAATACCATCACACATGGCCCTAGATTTTATTCAGTTGCACGGTGATTATCATTGTATCACGAACAAAAATAACGATTACGATATACTCGTGAACGTTTGTTATTGGGTGTTACAATTCGGATTTCTTTATCTATAGTTCAGGAGATTAAAAAAAATATATTATTTAGATTCTGCATTGATACTAATTTTCGGATGTGGATCTTAACTTATTATTTATATTTTTTAAAGTATTTAAAACACAGTTTCTTTTATATGCAGTAGCTTATTTTATTGTAATCCACAAATGTAGTATCTATTCATCTGGGACAACATATAATATGACTAGAGGAAATTAAATCTCTAGAAACTTGGAGCCTTAGAAACTGATGTCGATTCTGGCATTATTCTCTAAAGCTTAACTTAAATTTGACAACAGAGCATCCCTGTTATAATCTATAAAGAATGAAAAGGAGAGACTGATGTTAAATTTAGTTTTAAGTTTAGAGGATCACGCCAGAATCGACACCAGTGTCTGGCTAAAACAGATAAGAACTTTAATTATGTGATAGCGAGTCACAAAACAGATCTTTTCAGTTGCAGTGACCAATGCCATTAGGACTGCAGAGGCCCAAAATCTTAAACATTAATAATAATCTGGAATCTCGAGATAAATGTAGTATTCGTCATCAGCTCCAAACTATAAATTAGATAAATACTCATGTTAACTTTATTTGAAAAACAAAACCACGCCTGATTAAAAAGTAAATACGAAATCAAAAAAAAAACCTAGGTTAGTAGTCTAGAATCTAGTCAAATAAAGAACAAAGGTACTTTAACACTCGGGATCAATTATTGGGAAAATTTGATCCTTTCTTGGATTTCTAATAGGTCCCGAGTGTTGAAATAATTTGTTTCTTACCAAACAGAATTCTGGTGTTGTTTCGTTCTTAATTTTTTTTCATTAAAAATTATATTTTAAGCATGCGGTTTTCTGATTTATTTAAATTTAATAAAATACACATTAAATTTGTATAATTTTATTTATATTCACTGAATCCTTTTTTAAACCCCTTCACCTTATTAGCAACTAGAAAGGTCATAAGCATTTTTTTTTTCAAGATGTTTTATTTTGGCGCTATAAATCAGTCATTTCGCTCATGGAACAACTTAAAAAAAATGGGGTACCAAAGTGTAGGGGTTTTAAGGACAGATTTAATTTTTTTGTAATTTTAATATACGCAGTCACGGTAAATCAAATGATCTCAAAATTATTGTCGTATTCGTAATCAGCACTCTCGAAAAATACGTATACAATACACATATTGTTATTGGTCTATTAAAAAAGGCGATTCCGATATCAATACATCTTTTTTCTAATTTTAATTGACTATATTATTGTTTAATGTTTATGCAGAAGGTTGTTTTTTTTTTTGAAATAGTAACGTTTTTGCATAAAATGATTTCTTCATACTTCAAAAATACGATCAATATTTTATGTGTTGGAACAAACACATCGTGTTAAATATCTTCAAATTCTCAAAAATGCTAGATATGTGACTTATATCGTGGGACAGAGGTAGTCGTTCTTGTCATGTTTTTCTAAATAATATGGAGCTTGAGTCATGACCCACTACGCGGGCCCCATGCGGCTTGGCGGGTGGCAACGACTATGGCAGCCGGAACCAACGGCTTGACGTGCCTGCCTTGAGTTTGAGATAATAAGCTTTTGGTCATCCATCCAATGATCGACGATCGCAGACCGAATGTGCTCATTACCTGCATTATCGAGCTCCATACGTACGTGCTCAATATGTGCGCTAGCGTAGCACTTGTTGAAGGAATGGGATTCATCTTTGTCGAAAGCTTGAATCACTGAATATTTTCTAATTTAGCACACATAATAAAATTATTAACTTCTTAAATCATCAAAGTAAACAATATCAGGAAAATAAATTTATGAATTCGCTATCCTCTTTTATTAACAAATAATAGATAAGCTCAAAACAGTTCGCAGTGTTTTTTAACAAAATAGCAGTATTTGCTATCATCACGGGCGGTCAAAGGTATAAAATGTAGGCAGGGTATCCGATAAAAGGAAGTAAACGCAGTTAGCAAGATTATTTGCAATATAATTTGCAAAAAAAACATTGAATTTTACCTAAAGAAAGGTTTACTAGAAAAAAATGGGTGCGTGTACTTATGTAGGCGCGTGAGAAGTTATCCTTCTTTGGCATCGTTTAAAATTAGTTTTTAATTGCATGCAAATAATTAATTACAATAAATTAATAATAAATGTCATTTCATTTCATTTCATTTCAATGTCCCGTTCAAATCTGCCCTGTTTGCTTTGTTCAAATCTGCCCCACGGTCACTTGGAAAATAAAATATTACAAATAACGCGCCCGCGGCTAACTTCATTATGTTAAAATTTTGTGTTACAGTGATGAAAATTTCACTCTCATAATTTTTTCATAACGCGGCTAAAGAAGTATAACTTCAAAAATCCACGCGGACCAGGCAGCGGACGGGACTCGAACCCGCATCCTTCGCTATCCGGGCGAATGCACTGACCATTATGCTACCACGGCCCTATTAGCCGCGTCGAAATTTTCCTAGCCTTAAGCTGCGATGCAGCGCCATCTCTTCGCATTGTAGGTAACCCACAATGTCAAATGAATACTTTTTCAAGTATTAAACATTTGAAAGAAGAAATAGCAATTATAGTTATGATTTTATTTATTTTTTAAGCATTTAACTGCTAGATGTTTAAATCTAAAGAAAGGTTTACAAAAAAAAATGCTTAAAAAATAAATAAAATCATAACTATAATTGCTATTTCTTCTTTCAAATGTTTAATACTTGAAAAAGTATTCATTTGACATTGTGGGTTACCTACAATGCGAAGAGATGGCGCTGCCTTGCAGCTTAAGGCTAGGAAAATTTCGACGCGGCTAATAGGGCCGTGGTAGCATAATGGTCAGTGCATTCACCCGGATAGCGAAGGATGCGGGTTCGAGTCCCGTCCGCTGCCTGGTCCGCGTGGATTTTTTTTTAGTAAACCTTTCTTTAGATTTAAACATCTAACAGTTAAATGCTTAAAAAATAAATAAAATCATAACTATATTTGCTATTTCTTCTTTCAAATGTTTAATACTTGAAAAAGTATTCATTTGACATTGTGGATTACCTACAATGCGAAGAGATGGCGCTGCCTTGCAGCTTAAGGCTAGGAAAATTTCGACGCGGTTAATAGGGCCGTGGTAGCATAATGGTCAGTGCATTCGAGTCCCGTCCGCTGCCTGGTCCGCGTGGGTTTCTTTCTAGTAAACCTTTCTTTAGATTTAAACATCTAGCAGTTAAATGCCTAAAAAATAAATAAAATCATTGAATTTTATGTATAAGAATTTTGTATGTGTTAGAAATCATAAGTACTGATGTCGATTCTGGCAAGATTCTCTAAAGCTAAACTTAAATTTGACAACAGTGCATCCTTTTCGCTCTCTTTACAGAATAAAAAGGAGAGACTGATGTCAAATTTAGTTTTAAGTTTAGAGAATCACGCCAGAATCGACACCACTAAAGATGTAAATAAACTTTCTGATAGATATTTAAAAATGAAGCTTTTTGATTTCATTATAAACAAACATTTTGTTTCATTCAAA